GAGGACCAAGGACTCCTCCTCCTCCTCCTCTTCCTCCTCCTCCTCTTCCTCCTCCTCCTCTTCCTCCTCTTCTTCCTCCTCCTCCACCTCTTCCTCCTCCTTTTCCTCCTCCTCTTCCTCCTCCTCTTCCTCCTCTTCCTCCTCTTCCTCCTCCTCCTCCTCCTCCTCCTCCTCCTCCTCCTCCTCCTCTTCCTCCTCCTCCTCCTCTTCTTCCTCCTCCTCCTTCCTCCTCTTCCTCCTCCTCCTCTTCCTCCTCCTCTTCCTCTTCTTCCTCCTCCTCCTTCCTCCTCTTCCTCCTCCTCCTCTTCCTTCTCCTCTTCCTCCTCCTCCTCTTCCTCTCTGCAAACCCTCCTCACTTCTATCACTGATTGGGTAACATCATCCGTGATAGGTGTGTGTGTGTGTGTGTGTGTGTGTGTGTGTGATGGGCAGGATAAAACCAGGGGGGAAAGCAGCGGCCAGCAGCCATGAAGCACCCGCTCTGCCGAGAGCCTTTCCAGTGGGGTCAATCTGGTCCCTGGAGGGGTTGGGCTGGATGACCTCTGAGATCCTTCCAGTCCATCGTGCGATGACTCCAGGAAGGCTGGCAGGGACACCTGCCTCATGGCCAGGGTCCGCAGCTTCCCTTAGGAAGGACAGGTATAGAAGCCCCCCCCCCTCCCCAAATGCTTTCCTCCCGCCCAGGGGCCGCCATCGCCGTCACCCTCCGAAAAGGTTTCGTGACCATCCGGAAAGCCGGCCACCTCTGCGTCGAGACTCGCACCCAGACCTACAGGGACTACACGGACCGCGAGAAAGTGATGGAAGCCCGCACAGACGCCATCGGCCCAGGTGGGGGAGGCCTTGCGCCTCATGGCCCACTCAGTACAGTCCTCCCCTTCCTCACAATCCGAAACGATTCCTTGCCCCTTCGAGAGCAACTCTGGGAGTTGAAGCCCACCACTCTCAAATGTTTCCGAGATTGCACACACACCTCGCTGGAGCCGAGGTGGGCATCGTGGGTGGGGCATCTGCCCAGGGGTGGCACACAAGGGTGGCATCCAGTGCTGGGCACTCAGCCAGAAAGTGGCCTGGGAAACCCCTCCACCTGCCAGGACCCCCCCCTCAAGGGCTGGTGGGGGAGGACAGCTGGGTGAGAAAGACCCCCAGGCCCACCTTGGTTCTGCCCCCCCCTCTTCTCCAGGTGTCCGGGTCTTGTTGGTGGACCAGTGGGTAGAGACAGGGGGCACAATGCAGGGCGCCATCCAGCTGTTGGAGCAGCAAGGCAGCGTGGTGGCAGGTAAGGAGAGGAAGGGGCACTGGGGTCAATTTCCTCCCCTTGCCAGGCCCGAGGGCTGGCCTCTGAAGCCTCCACCTGCAGTGGCAGTCTACCTTAAGAGGCTACAGCCCTGGGAAATCCATCAGGGCTTCTTAAAGGCATCCCAGAGGCTCCCAGTGCAGCCTCCATGTTCAGGGACAGTCTACCCCAGGCTGCCAGATTTACCTCCCTCCATATTTTTTTTTGCAACCTGCTGCTTTCCCAGGGGGTTTAAAACTGGTCTTCCTCCTGACCCATCAGGTTCAAGCACTGACTAGGTCTAAGACACTGAGCTTGGCGATCAGAAAAGTCAGCAGTTTGGCGGTTCGAATCCCTAGTACAGGTCTCCTGCGTGAGCAGGGGGTTGGACTAGATAACCTCCAAGGTCCCTTCCAAATCTGTTACTTAAACAAAAAGCACAACAAAGAGGATTAGGGGAGACGAAAACATATGAGGAACGGTTGCAGGAACTGGGAAGGTCCAGTTTAATGAAAAGAAGGACTAAGGGAGGCATGATAGCAGTCTTCCAATATCTCAGGGGTTTCCCCAAAGAAGAGGGAGTCAAGCTATTCTCCAAGGCACCTGAGGGCAGGGCAAGAAGCAATGGGTGGAATCATTTCTCCGGAATCATATAAGGTCTCCT